AAAGCATCGTCCTGCATGTGGTGCATGTTTCCTTAAGTTTGCCACGTGATTCTGGCGTCCTCTGATCACACACAGATGGAAAATATCTTCTCGGCGTGTTTTGAGCCGAGCTGTCGGAGGGCGCTGGACGCAGGAGGAGGAACAAGCAAGAATTCACACTTCAGATTTCTTCATAACTCTGTCTGGCACCGTTCCCGCCACTGCAACACTCACTCTCCGTCTCTCTGAGATGCAGGCTTTAGCGCACAGCCTCCTCTGGTGATCTGTCTTCTAACAAGCATCCTGCCAGACTCTCCCAGGGCCGGCTCACTGTTAATACACACAACAAGAACTCAGCCTCGCTCAGACTGTGACAAATTGGTCCGTGCCAGCAGGGAATCACAGGTACTTTCGAACTGCTTGTATAGATTTGAAAACATGAGTCAGGGATTTCTTTTCTTATGCCAATTTTTTTTTTGTTGTTGTTGTTGGAAAACCGCAACACAGCGTGCGGTTAAATAAAAACACTGAAGGCAACGCCGGCTGCTCCCAACCCCTCTCATGGACGCCACAGCACAAATAGAGCACATTTATATAAAGTCATGTATTCCATAATTTTCCTTATTTGCATGCACATGCAGTATTAAAAATACAGTTAGACCAGAGCAGTAGATATACTGTTTGAAAAAAGAGTGTAAAAATCCAGTGCGACAGTCATTGAGTTCTTGAGGTCTGACATGATTGTAATCAGATAAAACAGCCAATGAGATGATCCAGTTTAAAGAGAGGGCGAGTCTCTCTGTTGCATATTTAAAACTGAAGGAGCTGCGGCACAAACACCCTGAAATAATGAACTCTGTTGCTAATATTCCAAACGGTTCAATCCAATAATAGAATTTCAGGCTGATGAAAGTGTTTCTCTTCTGTCTGCCTGTTGAAACACATTAATATTCAAACACCTTCGCGCAGAATGCAAGTGATGCCTTTTTCAGGTTCCTGTGGAAACCACTTAGCAGCTCGGCGCTAAAAATGGATCACCTCACCGACTGTTTCACATGCTGTTTGCTGAATGAGGCTTCCTTGATTTCCCAAACATTTTTTTTTTCTTTTTTTTTCTGAGATTGCACCACAACAGCGATTCTTCACATCGACGTACATTTATCTACAAGCCCTTGTACAAAAGGGGAGAGAGGAGGGAGTCATGTTTGGGAAAACAAAGAGAAGAAAAAAAAAAAAAGTATCCCGACAAAAAACACATTGAAACACAGTATAAGATTGGATCAAAAAAACTGTTTACAGCAAAGAGTAGAAAAGTCACTCTTAGATCTTGACAACATCTTTCTGGAACCAAGAAGGAGGCCAAAGGGGCCTCGGAACACAACTCACAGGACATTTCCTTGTATCACAAATCTTTGAATTCTAGATACAGAGAGCAGAACTCAGACTAGCCAGCACCAGAGACATTCCACCACCGTCGCTGTGGGCCTGCATATCACAGCAACACACCTCCAGAGTTAGAAACTCTTCGCTCATCAAGGCACAATCAAGACTCGTGTTTATATATATGTATGTTTATATATATTCCTCCAAAGATAATGAGGGTGAAGCAGATTCTGGAAACACAGACTAAGGACTTTCTCCCTTTTTAATCATTAATGCTCGAAAGAAAAAAAACCCTCCAAACTGCCCCAGAGTGTTTGCAGAAGCCATTTCACCCGCCGCTCCGCCCCGCCCTCCTCCTTATTCACATTCCTGAATGAATGGAGGACTGAGGGAGGGCCTCTCCTCTTTTTAATTGACAACAACACCGCCCCGCCGCTGCACTGGCGGCCCACCGGAGCAAAAGACGCACAAGCCTGCCAGACGGCATGGTAGCCATAGAAACCGGTCGGTGGGATGTGGACGCTTTAGAAACAAACTCCTCCTCAGTGTCTGCTCGGGGGTCATTCGAGGCAACGCTGCACTTCCAGCACATGACTTGTGGGTTCAGCAGAGCGCCACCTGCTGTCCGGCCGGTGTGTCGAGCAGAACACAGGAGGGGTCTGTGCGAGGCCACCGGGGCAGATAACAGCCCCGCCGGGCATCTGCTGTTGCATCGCCCGCTAGAAAGTGGGTGGCCGGCTTAATCTGCAAGCACAGAGCTGAGAGGGGCCTCCGGACCGAAGGCACAACCCGACACTTTGAAAAATGGAAAACAGGTTTGGAGAAAGTTGGGATATCACACCGATATACTGATACACACCGATACTGTAGCTTAGATATACTGTACTGTAGCTTAATCTGTATATACTGTAGCATATATTGACCTATAGGTTGGATGATATAAGGTATATGAAGTGTCAGCCTCTTGTCACAAACAAGTCTTGTCATGTATGAAATATGGATCTCACTAAGGATCAGGTACATAAACCAGGCATCCTTATAAAACTGTCAACACGTGGACCGCCGTTAAAGCCGTCACTGCTCAGTAACCACACCGGGCCGCCGTGCACGGAGGGTCCCCTCGTAACCTCCGAGAGCTGATTTCTTTTATATCATCCATAAGCAGAATCATGCTATCCTGTTTTATTCAGCTTATAAATCACAGCTGAACGCTCAGCCCTTTAATAGGCAGCGGCGGAGTAAACACGCCAGAGAACAAAAGCCAGACCAGCCGCTGCCGCTTCACTTAGAAAAAAAAAAAAAAGTCCTCATAAGTATTCATATCACTCTCGAGAGAGCAACAAGACCGCCTATTGTGGCCCTTTGATGCCACAGTTTTAATTCTGCTGCGAGAACACATGTTTATGATGGCGGCCGCTCTCCCCTCCCCTCCAGGTTTCAGGGCTCAGAGATCAGTTTAATATGAATAAGTTAGATGATCAGAGTGAGAGGATGCGGCCATATGGCGTGTTTGGCATCATTAGGTTGTCAGTTTGGGGCTAAAATGATGAGCGTCGTGATCGGTCTTCTCTTTTTTTTTTTTCTCCCCCCTCCACCCAAAAGAAAGCAAATTACCCGACATCCCTAACATCTCTGTAACATGTGACGGGGGAAGTGTTTGATGTTGACGCTGCAGTGTGACCTAAAGTGACCCATGTGTGCAGAATTTTGACATCTACAGGTGGCTTGTTGTGTTTAATGTACAATATGAATTATTCAAGAACATTCGATTTGTTGACAGAAAAAATAAACCCAGTGGCCTTTTTACTCACTCAGTCTGGAGCCTTTGAATGCATCACATGGTCTTCATCAGCTGTGGTGGGAAGTTAATGGAATAAAGTGCTCCACTTAAGTACAAATTTGAGCAGATGTGCTAAACCTTAACTCGTTCGGATTAGCTCTGCAGTTATAAGTTGCAATATTGGTGTTGTTTATGAATAAATAATCAAGATTGTGTAGATTTTAGCTCATACGGCTGAATCTGCTGATGAAGACGTGGATCAAAAGCTCCATTAAAAGCAAGTAAACAGTCCTTGAATTAAGACTGCTACTTCTGAATACAGTTTCTACATATTTTTAAACTCTAATGAACTGATTTCTAGGACTAATCAGTACACCGAAAGTAAAACCTTCAACATTGATGAACCAGGAGAGAGAGACAGAGGTGTTTCGGGGGCGACCCACTCACTAACTCGTGTCTGGACACTTGGTAGACTTGAGGCAGGGTGTTTTTTATTTTCATGTTCTACAGCATTAACAATGTGTACAAAACGGAGTTAATATGATCAGAGGACACAACGGGACAAACAGCACTGCATGGGGTCGGGTGGGGTTTTATAGCACCTCCATTTCTCCCCGTCCCGCCGAGGCCACAGCACCGGCATGGACAGAGTGCAGACACAGACCTGGGCCGAGTGTCTCTGAAAGCACCTCCATGCTAAAGGCCATCTTTGTGCCGCCGGCAGTGAATGACGTTGTCAGCACGGCGACGCAGGCCGGGCCACAGTCCACAAACAAATCCCAGAGTTCCTCACTGATCTGCGAGGAGATGGTTTAAGAAATATGGCAGCAAATATCCTTTAGAGGTCATTTGGATCAAACCATAATGAGAGATTAGCTTATCTTGGCTAAATCTGTCTATCAGCCATTTGATCAACGCTGACGGAGAATAAGAATCCAGAGAGAACTTCTAGTAAAATTAGCTGCCCTGAAATGCTGCCGCTTGAAGTATCCAGTCTTGCCAGCACCTCTGAATGATCTGAAACTAAAAGCCGGGACTTGTTCCTGGACGGAGCCCTGACTGGATCTGATTGGCTGCCATCGATGGAGGAGAATGGTTCCCAACACAAACATGAAGCACCGCAGTGATGGAGGGGGAGGGCAGCGGGAAGGGCACGGAGCAACAAACAGCATCAGCCGCTGAAGGCTTCAACAACAAAAACATGCTGTAACCGCGGGGTGTTGGTTTGTCAGGAGTTGGGCTCGACCTGCGCGCGGCCTGACAGGGAAACGCCACAGGCCGTTTGGTAAAAGGTGTGTAGCTCCTCAGGAGGAACCATAGTGATGCTTTGGGGGGCAGGGGTAAGAGGAGGAGGAGGAGGAGGAGGAAGGGGCGCCGTGCTCCAGTCGCTGCCCGCATACTTTCGCCTGGGGCTCCTTCACGTTCTCACACACACACACACACACACACACACACACACACACGGGCGCAAACACACCGAGACGTCAATCAAACTAATTGCAGGCGAGTCTGCGTGACACAGAGAGGAGAATTGGAAATAAGATAAAGGTTTTAATCAACTGTGGTTTTCGACCCCTAAGCAGCGCCGGCAGCGGGAAGCGTGACGTGAAGGAGCTCCAGGCGGGAGCGTGCGGGTCACACTCGCTGAAAAGAGCATAACAAGCTTAGTCTGTAATGAAAAATGTGCCGGGGTTTCCTCCTACACTCTGAATGGCCACGTGAATCTCCTTCAGCAGAACATGAAAACAAAAGTCATAAACAGAATATATATAGTCATATGTGTGTGTGTATATATATCTATATATATATATGTATATGAGAAAAGAATTAAACAAAAACAGCCAAATGAACGTCTTTCTTTTGTTTTTTGTTTTTTTGCTTTGAATTTAAATCTTTTTCTTATATAGATTTGTCTTTTCTTAAACAATAATATGTTCACATAGTACAAGGGCAAATCAGTTTGGAGATCATCTAAATATTTCTTACTGAAACATCAATGTAATGACACAGAAGAAGCACAAAGAGTGACTGTGAGGCTATCCCTAGACTCAGAACAACAGAAGCCTGACAGGTTCAACAGTACATTATTTCCTCACGCAAACGTCACACTCAGACCTGTCGTGTTCATAAGGTGGCAGATGTAACGACCAAAAGAACTGGTCAAGAAAAAAAAAAAAAACAACTACATATATACAGGAAGAAACTAAAAGAATAGACAAGAAACAGCTGAGCAAACGTAAAAGAGCTACGATTCTTGCGTACGGAAGTACTTTATATTTAAAATGGGCGAGCTTGTGAGTTTATTAGCTGGTGTTGGTTTGAAATAAATCTGCTGTGTGAGTGCGTGTGACAGGGAACGCCGACGAAGCACGCATGCAAACAAACGCCACGAAATGCAGAGTAAATGCAGAAACAAAAGAACACGGTGCCTGTTGGGAGACACGCTGGTCTTCACTTGGAACACATTTCTTTCAGTTTCAGAACATTGTAATAAGCCTCGGGTGACGACAGACTTGGTCCACATGTGTAAACTATTTGGCCTTTGTGATTTCGTTTCCTGCCATTAAGCCGACGAGGAGGCAGAAATTCAAATGACAAATCAGAAAACCGCATCCTTTTTACACTCATCAGTAACAAGGTTTACGTGCCGATCACAAGGACTTCTCTTCTAGCATGTTGCCGAGTGAGTGACATGTGCAGTGCACGTTTAACAACAAAGGAGTGACCTAATCAAGTGCTTACGACTCCCCCGCCACTTCTCCAAAACACAATTTCAAACGGAGGAGTAGCTACATCTGGGTGAGCTCATATATGTTCCACTTTTTATAGTACCCAGGTAAGTTAAAGAGGACATCGTGGAAGATAGAAACATTTTTAAACTTTCTAAAACTAAACACAAATGCACCAAGTTCTCCGTTACACAAATACAGTGCAAGTGCCTCACTTTTGGTTTTTGGCCCTCCCCCTTCGGTTGACAGATCATTAAGATACGTAAACACAAAGTTGTTCTGCTCCCTTTAGGACAGTGTAAGAGTTGGATCAGGAGGAGGGCAGTGTGTCTCTCTGTAAGTGGTGAAGGATCTTTTTTATGGCATCACATGCGGCTGACTTCACGCTTCCAGTGCTGTCAGGAAGGTCTTTAAACACTTTGTTTAGCAGGTAGGTAAACAGTCTTGGTTTCACCAAAAAAAAAAAAGAAAAGAAAGAAAAAACAAAACACTACATCAACAACACTAAACATGGCACCTTAACAAAAACCAAAAACATAAGAGAACGACATAAAGGAGTTTTTGGTTGCAAAGTTGTCATGTGTGATGAAAGAGAGAAGCTGTTGAGATAGTGCTGCATACAGTATAACCACAAGTTTAAGCTGCTGGTTTTTGCTTTCTTTAGAATCACATCCCTGATGAAACAAAGAAAACGACTCAACTGGATAAAAAGTGACAGAATTTTCTGCTTTGATTCTGTGGGAATACCTGTGTCTGTGTTGGGTGCTGTGGTAAATCCACCGGTATGGTCCATCTACTTTCCCTGACTGTAAATTGTGTCTTTTTTGCATTGATCATTCACCTTGTGTGTGTCTCTCCTTCTTTCTTTCTGCCTGTCAGCCAGCCCTTCCTGGCTCTGCCGTACATTCCCCTCGGGGCTGTCAGGAGGGTTGAGGGACCAGGAGAGGCCGTGATGGTGGCGATATAAAAAAAAAATCACCTCAAAAGGTCCAGAAATAAAACAAATAGATGAACAAGTTGAAGGAAGAACAAAAACTGCGAGCCTTTGCCTCCGTGCTTTTTCATAAAGTTCTTCAAACACTTCAGCAAAGAGGCCCGTTCTTCTTTTTGGATAAAAAAGTGAAGATTTGTTTTTGTTTTTTTCTTTTTAAATCTTTCGACGAAACACACACAAAAAAAAGCTTTTGGCCTTTTTTCTGGACCCCTTCTTTGACTAGACTTTCCATTTAAAAACCAGAGCTGTACAAAACATAGAAAGATGCAACACTGAACTCAACATAAAAAACTGCAGAAATCTTTAGATCTATTTTTTTTTTTCTTTTACACTGTTTAGCTGCACTGGGGGGTTTTTATCCCCCCAAAACTGGGAATGAAGGGAATGTACTGGGAATCCTGGACGGCGATGTAAAAGGTGACTCTGCCGTCCTTCGGTTGCTTCCGCGGCTGGAATGGTTCAGTGGAGCTGCGAGGAGCGAGAACGAGGAGGAGGCAGAGCCAGAGCTTGACGGACAGTTGTGACTTTGAGCTGAAGAAAACCAAACGCATGCAAATCGATGCCCCACTTCCGCATTTTCTCTGGCGAAAAAAAAAAACTGCAGCGCCTGTTGGTGTGGCGGGCCGTTGCGCTGGCGCGATCAGTCGGTGAATCTCTGACAGGCCTTTTTCCAGCGGCAGGCGGTGCACCACATGTCGCGGTTCTCCATCCCGTACACCTTGCGGCACTTCTTCCCCTCGCCGCGCACCTTCCGACTGCAGAGGAGAGATGGAGAATTATTAACAATATAATGAGCAGAACACCGTGGCTGGACGTAACACTCCAACCCTGTGGCTAAACAACATTCCTACATAGTAAAACCTGTGTTAGAGATTAACTTTAACGAGGTCGTATTATGCTTTTTAGGGATTGTGCAGTTTAAAGGCCTCCAAGGTTACAAAGTCGACACCTAAGACAGTTATCTTCTCCCATAGAGAACACACTGCTGGTTGAAATGCCCCATTTAAACTCTCAACATAACTTGTCTATGTAAGACATCTGAATAATGTCTTGTGATATAATGGACCATAGTTGATCCATGAGTTGTTCAGCTCTCCACGCACTGTTCAGTATGTTATCCTCACATTAATCACAAAGTTTAAGTTTAAACCATCCATCCATTATCTATACACCACTTAATCCTCACTAGGGTCATGGGGGGCTGGAGTCTATCCCAGCTGACAGGTCACCAGTCTATCACAGGGCCACACTTAGAGACAGACAACCAAGCACACTCACATTCACACCTACGGACAATTTAGAATCACCAATTAACCTCAACATGTTTTTGGACCTTGTGGGAGGAAGCCGGAGAACCTGGAGAGAACCCACGCTGCACGGGGAGAACGTGCAAACTCCACGCAGAAAGATCCCGGTGTCCTCACCGGGATGCGAACCAGCGACCTTCTTGCTGCTAACCACCAAGCCACCTTGCAGCCCCAAGTTTAAACCAAGTGAAACAAAATAACTAGTAATCAGAAGCATCCTTGGAGAGAGCAGTCCTCCGCCAACGTGGATACACTGTCTCTCAGTTTTATCGGAAATGATCGAGATGATTTCTGCTCACAGACAAACAAACAGACCATCAAACGACACTGAAACGCCTCCATGCCTGATAATTCCCTAAATCTAAACGCAGAGTTGTAGTGATGAGACACAAAGCCGTTGTATTTTCTTATGAATGGGGCATATTAAAAGCAGTTGACAGTGACGGTCGTGGCAGTATCTGTCTGCTCTTTTTTTTTTTTTTCCTGATCTGAAAAAATGATTCGGCCCCTGACTCAACAGCCCAGATATGATCTTAACAATGAGTTTTGCGATCCGTCTAGGAGCTACTTTGGCACATTGTCAAACAGAGAATGAGCAGCTTCCTTCGCAGTCCACCTGCACTTCCTCACTAGAGCTGCTTCTGCTAAAAAAAAAAAAAAATCTCATTGGGCCAGCTGACCAATCAGAAGACAGGAGCTAAAATGAAGCGTTTCAGACACGGGGGAGAACACAGCAGCTCCTCAATGTACAAAAATGATGCCTTTTTTGAACATTAAAGGAAGTAAACAAACCCCAAAAATAAAACCATAAACCAGTCACTGTGCACAATATGGACTCTTTAAAACTTATTCCACATGACTTCAAACTCGTTAGATTACTTTCATGGGAGACTGAAGCCCAGCTAAGACGAGCAGCTGTATTTTCAGTAATCTCTTGTTGGGCGCAAGATGAGATCAATACCTTTACAGAAAGCTATTTCCAGTCCAACCAAACCCAACTAGCTAGCTTCTTATTTACTGTACAGACATTAGAGTGACACCAGTCGGTCCTACAGGTCCCACAAAAGCAAACAAGTGTATTTCTGGAAATGTTTAACTCAGCATTGAAGCACTGCCCTCCTGCTCCACAGGAACAAAAGCTTCTCTAATTGCTAAACCTTCATCTGCAGACAACAATGACACTTCAATATGGATTACCATTACTGTCTCCTAATAGATCAGTTAAGCTCTGATTAAGTCCAAGAATGATCATCCGTGACCTAATGTGGGAGATAACACACAGATACAGAGCGGTTCCTTATTGATGTCGATCAGGAAGATCAGAGCCTGAACTGAGCTGACTAATCGTGACCCGTTTTTAATTAGGGAGCCATCGAGCTGATTTGTGAGAGTCAATATTCCATTTTTTTTTTCTCCCCGTCACCACATGAGGTGACATGAACCCAGGAAGGCTTAGCACAACTAGAAAATTACATTAGATGCAGATAATGTTTCTTGGTTGTATCTGATATTCATATTGTTCAGTCTTTAATTAGAGCTAACAGGCAAAATGTCAGATAAGACTCAGTGAGCAGTGAGGGTCCAGTACCTGAGGGCAGTGGTGGCTCTGGGAGGGGATGAAAGCACAGCGATGGTCTGGGAGCGCTGTTCACCGAATCCCTGGCTTTTACTGGGAGACACCTGGAGAGGGACGACAGAAGTGTGATGGTGAAACCCAGGAAAGGATCGACTTGTGTGAATAAATCGCTCTGCCTTGAGTGTTTCCTCACCGTGGTCCCGGTGAAGGTGACGGGAGGCGACTGCCAGGAGATGCTAAAACTGGAGCTGTTGGTGGGAGTGAAGCTGGTGGAGGCCGAGCCGGCCGAGTTACTGCAGCTGGACGGGATGGACACCGGAGCCGTGGCCTGGAGGCACAAGTCAAACACCTTGTTTTTATGCTTCCATCCAAAATGGAAAGTGGAAAATCTATTATTTCTGTTATTGTTATTCCTACTAATCATTTCAATTCGCCAAACCCTGACTTGTAAATCCTTTTGTTCCCTGTGATGTGTTTTTAATAGCTGTATTGTCTTGCTCTCTTTCACTTGCCTTTTTTTCTTTTATTGCAAATTGTGTTTCACATGAAATAGATTATTATCTTGTTTTGACGAGGCTGAAAAGAAAAACAGGTACAGGGTGGTGCAAACAGGTTTTATGTAAGGACAAGCAGGAACAAGTCTTTTTTGATAGGACGCATTAATACATATTTTGTAGGTGAAACATGACATTAATATCAGATACAGGGATGTAAAAATAGTAATAAAGAGCTAGTAACATAGACATTGGTAGTTATTTTACATACATCCATCCATTATCTATACTAGGGTCACTAGGGTCACGGGGGGCTGGAGTCTATCCCAGCTGACTCAGGGTGAAGGCAGAAAACAGTTGTGTAATGTGTGTGATTGTGTCATTTTTCTACCTCTAATTAATTATTCCTCTCTGCTGCTGCTGTGTGTTGATATAGCACAACTGTTAGCACAGCTGCTAACGGGAGTGAGGAACCACAAGCCTGTGTGACATCATTAATGTGTTTATAAACACTGCGCAGCATCATCAGCATAATGAACGGCCTGATTCACGATATGTGGCTGTTGTGTGTTTGGCCTGGCGAATCTGCTATTGTGTGTCTGTTCGCCAACATGTAGCCTCATAGACTCCAACATGTAGGTGTGTACTCGGCGTTTAAATAAAGGTTGAATGAATGAATAAACATGTTGAGTGTGTGTTTATGGTCCAATCTCCACCCTCAGGCCTCAGCACTAGACCTATCTGACATCACAGCTGAACTGTTTGAGTTCTTGAGGGTCGAAATGGTAAAAAAGGAGGAACACGACTATGACAGGCGTTAGTAGAAGGGAATTAGTACTTGCAGTCCGATGTTTGTGCTTATACATTTTAGCAAACTAATGAAGAATCCTACAAACACGCAATAAATAAACGCAACAGCGGGCAGCCAGATGTTGTCACTTACAGATGAACTCCCTGGTGAATTTCTTCCCTACAGTCATGCTTGGTTTGTGTACATTTTGTAGGGGGCAGGATAACCGCGTGTATATATGTCACCAATTTTGCTATGAATTAGGGCAAGTCCCTCAGGAACGTCTACAGACATGTGGACTCACAGAAACGCTGCGCAGAAGCATTGAAAATCATCAGAGCACTCATGCACTTGATGGTTTGTGGGATAACCTCAACCCTTTATGGGGCATGTGACCATATTTGGTAACTTCCTTTGACGTTCAATATGTCCGCCCTGTGCCTCTCCTTGATGTTGAAGATCCACGTGCAATTTGATTTAGTTTCTATATGAGTGCCAATATCAGTACCTTACGAAAAATGCCACTTAACAAATGCTCCAGGCACTTTAGAAACGCTTTGTTGCTGGTTTGCATTGAACTCCACTTTGATTTATTTTTTGAGAGTAGTGCCAAAACCACTACCCCAAGAAAAATGTGACTAAATGAACTTACCAAGCACTTTATAAATACTTTGTTAGTGGTTGTGTACTGCAATTTCCGGACTATAAGTCACTACTTTTTTCACACACTTTGAACACTGTGGCTTAAACAATGATGCGGCTGATTTATGGATTTTTACAATTTTTACAAATTGGCCTCGAGACGAAAGTGACATTGAGAGCGAAAACAAAAGAGAGACTGAGGAAGTGTGTGACGAACGAATTCTGAGGCTGTTCGATTCACGACTTTAGTGGTTTTAGTGCGCAGGAGGAAGATGAAGATAGCGATCAATGACTTTACCTAGTAGGTGACTGCATTTTTTATTTTTTTAACCAGCCATGGTATGGTTACCGGTACGTATTTAATTAAAAGTTAAAAAAAAAATTTTTTCCCTTTTGAAAGTTAGTGGTAATATATTCAGGTGCGCTCAATAGTCCGAAAATTACGGTAAGTATCATTACCTCGAACTAAAATATTTCTAAATGAATGTTTTTTTGCAGTTTGCTACTTTTTCTTTTATTTATTATAACTTCTCTTTTTTTAACTGTAGACGGGCAAGTTACCGTATATGGCAACGTCATTAATCTTGATTTGCAACACAAAAGTAAAAATATCTTGAAATATCCTCCAATAACACCCCAGGGTTGACATTTTTCCAAGTATTTCAAGGAGTGCCCTATGAACCCTCAAACATCTAGCGGGAATGTGTCTCAGAGTTGGTGAGTGTGGAGGTTGGGATCGAGCTGCTCACCTGATAGGCGTGGTCCGTGTGGATGAGGTAGAGAGCGCTGGGCGCAGAGCGGCTGAGCGGGGTGGTACCGCCGGCATGAGGCTCCTTGGTGTCAGAGGGCTGCTGGGGTCTGTGGGAGTCCGGCAGCTGGCTGAGAGAAGGGAGAGGAGACGGGGGAGGAGGTGGGGGAGAGAGGACGGAGGGCGACACGGGGGAAAGGCTGCTGAGCCCGTCGGCCACCGAGTCGGTGTTGAGCTTGATCTCTGTGTAGTAGAAGTCCTCCTCGCCGTCGCTGCAGTCTGAGTCACAGTTGCGCCTGGAAAAGAGGATTCAGACGGTGAGGGGTGACGGACGGAGGAAGCTGAAGAGGCGCTACCCTGTGACTGCTGATTATCCATGCGAAGTGCGACACAAATGGTGTCAATGCAATCACGCCCGACCCTTGCCACGCTTCAACATTAGCGTCAATCTCCACTTAAATGGCACTATAAAGGTCTGATCCATCCAATATCATTGTTCTCCGCCTCGCTCATTTTCCCTTCACCTGTCACCTCCCCCCTTACAACCCGAGCAGAACGTGCCACTGCGCTAATAATCCATAAGCCATTAATCTGTTGTTTTGACACTGAAGCGGGCTGGAGGGAGTCAGGACTGAAGTGGCAGAGCTGCTTTACAGGCTCTGAGTGGACTGTAGCTATGAGCTGTGTGAGTATGTGTGTTGGCGTTTTACCCCAGGTGGATGGTGCGGATGTGTCTCTGAATGCCAGCAGCGGTACTCAGCACCTTGCCACAGTTCTTCCACAGGCACTTGAACATCACCTTCATGGAGTTCTGTGGGGAAAAAAACACAACAGACGACAGTTTAGTGTTTCGCTGATGTTCTGATACGGACTTCAAAGAACCAGCCTTCCTTCACAGCTGCACGGTAAACAACAAGAAATCATTACCAAGCAAATTTCTCACCTTTGAGGATGTCACCTTCCTTATCTGCCAACATCATCACTGACACTACAAAGCGTGGAGATAAATTCCCCGAGCTCAACACGAGATTACAGGAGAACGGGATTCATGTGGTTACGTCTCTCCAAGGTGGTTCAACTATCAGTACGTAACTCGAAATTAAAGAGCATGTCATATTCTTAGCTACTAAATGATTTTTTCTAAAGGGACGAGATTAGGATCTGTGTAGCCACATCATTAATGACTCTGTAGGGAGTGTCAGAAATGAAAAGGTAGATTTAGTGGCACCAGCAGGGACAGTATAAACACTGGATACACTGATGACTCGCTTCAGTTGTCACATTAATACTTGGCTGCAAATGTGTTCTCTTTGTCAAGGTGTGACTTTATTTTTCTGTAAGTTAAGCGAGATAATTGAAATTATATTATATAAATACAAAAGCCACAAATACTGAAGGTCGTAATGATGTGCAGAAATCACAATGATCAGAAACGTCCCTCTGTTTTACAGCTCCAGTCTCGGCTCCGGTGGTTATTTATGAATGTTTATGAATGACCTCCACACATTCAAGTCCCTTTTAAAAACTCACCTTTTTTAAGAGCGCTTTTAATGTTTAACTGTTTTACGTTTTTATTTTTTTATTTTTACCTGCCCTCTACACTTTGTGATTTTATCTGCTTTGTATTCAACTTGTTTTGTTCCTGTTTTTATCTTCTCCCCTGTTAAGCGACTTTGAGTAACTTAAAAAGCCCTCTACACAATAAATGTATTATTATTTATTATTATATTCCAACTATTCTGAAGCCATAGTGTCAACCTGTCACTTGTATGATAAAATCTTGCGAATTAAATAAAGAAAACTACTGCAGATGTAAGAATTTCTCATATTTCTGAGAACTACTAAATCCAACTAAAATTAAATTGCATTTATCTGGTGCAGCATATGTATTGCTTTTGCAGATGACCTTCCCTGTGTTCTGCTTTAACATGATGGCACTGTCTAGTTTTGCAGTAATTCAAAAGAACACCGTAGACGGCAAATAAAACTCTGCCTATAGCTGCGACACTGGCATTCATTCTATTCACACTGAGCAACACAAGAACTCCAACACTTTGATCAACAACCACATTAGCTTTCCTGATAAAAAACGATGCATCAAACCTACAAAAATGAAGACGTGCCTTGTCTTAAACCATGACTTGTTGAATGAGAGACTACATGAACAGGTTAGGTGGCTAACTACTCAACTGCAGCACATTAGACTGCATAGGTCAGTTTAGATGTTGGTGTTGTCCATATTCTTCACCAGTAACATGCTGTTCAACCATGACATACAGACAGTAGGAACAGATGATGTACACCAGCTGAAATATGTTGACCTATGATGGGATTTTTCAGATTTTCTCAGAAAGCTGATGCTGCCATTATGTGAGCTCACAGTGTGTGTTAACCTCTGCACTACCAAGACATCCTACATATTGTTTATTCACTCGCAGCTATTACTTTATTCTAATTTGTTTACTGAGTACCACATGTATGTCAGTCACCTTACAATATTTCAGGGTTTTTAGTGGTTGTTCTGCTATTAAAAATGCCAGTTGTGCCTGTTGACCGACTCACAAGTGACCATCCACTGGATTTAAACACTCTCGCACCGCATGCTTCATGTTTACTACAGTTTGAATGTGTGAAACGGACACATAGCCATACTATAACGTCTTCCTCTGGAGCTTTCCCCAACACAATGCTGGCAGTGCTCCTGTATGTTTTATCCTGCTGTACTGTTTATCTACTGTAATTACACCAGCGGCTTCCTGGGGAGACAGTATATTGTTTTCATGGAATAAAAAGCCCTATAAGCTTCCTTTCTGCCCTCCTGCTCCCCCCCTCTGAGCCACCATAAACGGTCTTATAGGCCCGTCTATCCAACTATTGTTTAAGGCGCTGATTTAATTTTGACAAGATGTTTTTTTTTTTTTTTTTTATAAATCGTCCTCCTCCTTTCCGAGACACGCACAACAATCATCTGTCCCCTGTGCATTGTTTTGTCTTTGCGTAACAAAAGCTCATTTTGTATGTTAGTGAGTGAGAGTGTGTGGTATTCCCTTTAAAGAAGCATTTCACTGTTAATTAAATGGGGAGCTTCAAACGGTATTGTGTTGCCAAGAGAAAAACGAAGGGGGGGGCCTGTAGATAATTTCATGTCAAACCCTGGCGCTGCTGCACATATAGCTCGTGTGTTTGTTTAAGTCAACGCTGCTGTCCAAGCTTTGAGAGAAGCTGTTTTTTTCATGCCCTCCACGTTCCAATCTTTCTTTGTTCCCCCCAGTAATTCCTGACAGTCTCTTAATTTTTCATCCATAACCTTTATCCCTTCTCCTCTTTCCCACTGGAGGTCCTTCTATCTCTCCCCCTCCATGCCCTTCTTTGTGATAAGTCCCCAATTAATACGGCAAAGTGTGCCGACGCGGAGCTCGGCCAAGAGTATTTATTGATTCTGAGAGGACACGTGAGGCTGGCAGGATCTTTAAGTTTTCTGTACCAGGTATTAAAATCATTATTGCTGTTGTGGAGCGGCTGCAATGTGAAGGCTGAGAAGTAATTATGAAGGGCAAATGTCTGGGGAGGACGCACACATAAAGAGAGAGGGAAGACGGGGGGGGGGAAAACACAGGCGAGAGGAAGTGGGGGAAGCACGAGGGAGAGAGAATGAAAAGAGGGATGGATGGATGATACCGTCAGCAGACTGAGGAGAGCTGATGAGGAGAGAGAGAGACCAAGAGAAAGGGAGACAGAGAGAGCAAGAATATACATGTGAAAATATAATGAGTGACAGTGAGCTGTGGATGCGATGAGCTGTCAGCGGTGTGTACAAATGAAAGTAAAATGATGTGCGCTGTGTTCTGGCCAGCAAAGACAGAAGCACCACTGGAGCAAAAGGTTGCGTGTCCTTTTCTTCCCCATTTTCAGTCAGAATCGAAAATACATCCACAATGTACATGGTTAATATTTCAGCATGTAGAAGAAGGGAAATCAAGCTGCTCACGTACACGTGGCAGCATCTCAAAGACAAGTTCCTAACCTTTTTTATTATGAGATCTGCCCGTTGTCAATAGAAGCGCTGCTGTTATGTTTAATGCATGAATGTATCAGAAGCAGTGTAGCTAAAGAACCGCCGCGACCATTTCTAAAGCTTCTGGGAAACAAAAAGGTCATGACAACAAACCACATTTCTTCTTTTTTCCTCTCTCTGAGGATTAAGTGGTAACTGGCCAAATTAATTGGACCTTGCGGCCTTAGAGGAAACTGCTTTTAAAAATAATTCTGCAAGTTTATTATTTTGAATGGTACTCAGACTTTGTCCATTCTAAGCTGGTTTAATCTGAAAATGCATCTTTTTCTTTCCACTTTTGCCTTCCATCCACACAAAGCAATATCTTGCTTATTGTATTTTTCATGTCAAAACATTTGGAACAACAAGATAAAACTGAAAATGGCAGCGATGCGTTTAGTATGAACAAAACAATAGAGCGCTTGGGAAAAAAAATTGCTATAAGCCTGCTTAGACACAGTATGGAGCTGTGTAATGATAAAAATAAGTTAAGATAAGATTATAGCTTCCCAGTCACACAATAGAGGTTCTGCAACTAGTCTGTATGTGCTTGATTTTGTAGAACTGGCATCCCAGCCTTTTAACTGGTTTACAGAACCCACCTTGCGCTTGCGGGGGATTGGCTCATCAAAGAGCAGACTGCTGCCGTCCTGCTCCTCCAGACTGGGGTCTTCAGGTCCCGCCGGGCCAGGACCCACCCCACCCAGGCTGGGCACACGGAAGGGCTTGAAGCTGTCGGCAGAGAGCGGCGGGGAAGGTGTGGAGGGGTTGGACTGGTCGCTGGGAGCCGACCAGCTCCAGTAGCCCCCTGAGGAGCTGTTGCTCGACGGGGTGAAGGGTCCTGCTGAACCGTTGTCCTTCCACGAACCACTCAGACCCTCTGAAGAGATAACGAACAGAGACGGCAGAGACAGAGAGGGGCGGGGCAGTAGGATAAGAGGAAGGGTAGGAGAGGAAAGGTAGAGCATGAGACTAAATCTGACAACACACCTAACTTCCTCCGTCATATTTGTAGACGCTACAACCACCGAAAAAAAAAAGGATGAGATCAAGACATTCAATTAAGTTCCGACAGCTTTATTTGCACTTCACATAAAAGAGCCTCCCTGAACTACTGTTGACTGTGACACAAGAAAAAATAAAGGTTACCTTCCTGTTCTGTGATTCCACTGAGACACTTCCAAGGTCTTGTTTTTTTAGATCAAAGGAACGCTTCTTTTGAATATCAGCTACAAAAGGCATTTCGGTTTGTGAAGATCCAGGCTGGGGGAAACTTTTGGAGAGTCTGAGGTGTATCAGAGTGCATTTGTGCGACAGAGTGAGTGCAATAGACCCACTTTGGTTTAGTGAAGCTGCTTGTTGCTGGGGCATCTCTCTCCTGTCGGACTTCTTTCTTTATCTCAGCACATTGTTTTACACAAAAGAGGAAGTGGCTCAGCAGCAACAAGAAAAGAAGCTCTTTGGGTTTGGTTTTGTAGTATAGAAAAGCAAACAATATGGTTGATTAAAGCGCAAATGATATGATAAGGCAACCAGCTCATTGGAACAGTCATATTTATGAGGAAAAATGTCAACCATGGCTGAGCTTGAACCGTGCACTACGCATGAGAATGCACTGATGTAAAAGCACATTGTATGATGTCAAACATGCACAGCTATGACATGTGTACGGCAACATTAAGACAACCACCGTACAACTGGTATTTAAAATCCAATTTGTGCATGTGTGCATGATGTAAATGATGTACATTTAACATCTGACCGCTTGTGTGACCGTGACAACTCGTGCCTGGTGGTTGGAGGGTTGGCTGCATGTCTGCTCGGTTGGACGGCCGGCCGGTCGGTTGGTTGCACAGACTATTTAAATGGTTGCGTGTGATTGCAGTTACGGGGGCACTTTGGATTTCCGCCACTTTGTCGAGTGGCAGCGATCCAGACTCATTGTGCTTTTCGGTGGATTTGCAGCACTGATGAGACAATCCTACAGCACAGCAGGTGGCAGTAATTTATCAACCTAAGCTTCTACATGCATTCACAAGATAACAGCTGTGAGGGAATGAAAAGACAGTTTACAAGAGTGCATACAAATTCTTGGCTTAGGCTGAGCAACTTCTTTTGTGTTCGTTTTTAATAAAATGTTGGCTTTATTAGCAGCAGGAGAGAGGGGCTGACGCATCAAAACCAAACATTTATTCAAAGCATTCTGTGTTTGCCGGTGCCCGCTGCATCTGGACGACATTCTCACTCCATCAGTCATTTCCTAGTCGTGGTACTTACCGCTGACTTTGACAGGTGGACTCCTGACCAGCGGGCTGGTGGAGAGACTCGTCAGCACCATGGCAGCCGTCACCTTGTCCATATCCACTTCCTCCTCCGACCGTCTGTCAAAACACAACGGAAAAAGGAGAAAACTTTACAGAGGTTCTTCAACACATTGAGAAATCCGTCCTTTATTTATAGAAAGATGCAATTAACGACAAAAGGGAAAACTAAAGGTGCAATGTTCAGGCCACGGTGACCACACACTACTAAAGTTAGATAAGAAGAATTTAGCTCCAGAACATGGTGAGCGCTTGCCTTCTTCACTCAGCCAGATGTTTTCAGACAAAAAGCAGACCTTCTGGTTTGCATACTCCTACAATGACTGCAACATAAGCTGCTAATTACATTGAAGTTTTATGCTTGCTTTTTTTGTGTGTTTGTTCTTTGCGACTGATGTAAGCGCCTAGCCACGACTGGAAAAAATCAATAGTTAGCAGCTGAAACACAGCAGTACAAAACAAAAATAAACCTACACTACTACCTAAACCAGACTGGACTGACAGGGGTCTTGTAACAGAGCGCTAAAGCATCAACACTGTACAGTACGCACACTAACAATCCATATGACACAATAACCACACCCAACACATATTTTTGTCTCTTCTAATTAGTGTGCAGAAAACGTGGACTAGAAGACAGGCGTCTTAATCCTCTGGCATGTATTCCTAAGAGACAGACAATCCCTGTGATCAATAGCTTTATTACTGACAGTGTACCTGTGGTGCATGTTCACTATTAACGTGACAGGGAGTGTGTGTGAGGCTGTGTGTGTGTGTGTTTTGTCCCTGAGCAGGCAAGGCTTTGATGGTGTGTGGACGCCAAATGATCAAAGTTATTTCTATAACAATGACGAAATCTCCCGCTGCCTCGGAAGAACATGACATCAGCAATCACCCAGTTTTCGCAGCCGCTGAGATCAAATGGCGAGGTTACCCTGCATGTTAATTGGTCCGCGTACAGTAGAGGCAGCAAACTGTTGAAATAAACAACTCAATCTTTCCCCATAACTGTCAAAACACAAACACATTCCCACGTGGTAGTGAAGGGATTGTACAAGTTACGCAAAATCTGTGAAATGATTGCACCATTTACTCTCTCTTATGAACACTTGTTTAGAACTTTAACCTACTGTAGCCCTTCAGTGGTTAATATTTTTATCTAATTTTGGCTAAATGCATTCAGTAGGATGCAATATAGTCAGTCAGATGAAGAGTTAAAGCGAGCATGTATGCATCAGAAGTCGATGAGCATAAACAGACGGATGTGGATTTGCTCAGAGTGAGTAAAAGACATGCCTGTTTGTGCTGAAAATGTTTAAAAATTCAGTTGCCCTTGGCTGTATGACTTCACTCCATGAACAGCAGCAAAAGAAAAAGAAAAAAAGAAGAAGAAAGAGAGGGAGTAAGGAATGGGACTTCAAATATTGCGGTAAACTGAATAAACATTTGTACTGTCCAACGGCTGATTGTTGCTGACGCGCACACGGCAAGGATCATTCGCATAAATAAAGCGAGAGGAATATTTGCTTTGCATGCAATTTAAATGCTCCAAATATAATATCAAAAACAATATACAAAACAGGAAAGCGATCTACTGTACAGGGTTTTGGGTGTAACCACAGAGTCACAGCAGCACGGCCTCGTTCTTGCAAATAACCAAAGAAAAAAAAACATTTAAAAGTAAAGAGGAAGTAATTGAATTATTATTGAGCTCCTCGGTCACTGTACAGTTCACCGTCTGGTCTGCTGCTCCATCCAGCACAATAAGGAACTGGGAGACTAATAAGGATGCTGGAGACATGCGATGACTTCCACTGCCCCTTTCACCCGGACGACAACGGAAAACGACTCACAGCGTGCTGCACAACAAAGAGCGACGCCGGGGAGGCTCAGGAACAGCGCTAAACTTGTTCAGTGGCTCCGTCGAAGCCCAAATGCAACTCCCAATATTTATTTTTAGAATGGTTTGAGGCACAGATGCTCCCCTCCTTAGTTGACTGAGCTAAAGAAAGAATAAACAAACAAACAAAGAAAGCCCCAAATTCCAGATGCTCCAAAAACAAGTGAATTTAAGACAACACAAAGAATTATCTACGCAAAAAAGTGAAGAGGAATGTCTGAAAATCATCTTTTGTGTGTAGCTGCAGTAAATTCCAGTGTTTATTATGTATTAGGTTTTAAGCACCAAACAAATACCAAAATGGAATAAGGCTGTTAAAAAAAAACAAGGAAGTAGTTGGCCGCTGAACTGGGAGAAACTAAATTTTAAGATCGATGTTTGGATGGTTGACACCTCTCCTAAATATTTTATAGAAGCAGGGTGGAGTGTTTTTTTATTATCATTATTACTTAAAGAAGAGTGCAGCCGCAGTTTGTTTGCACGGTGATGAGCGACTGACAGATCCTTCACCGAGCAGAGGAAACGCTCAAACAGTCAATCAGAAGGCCGATCTTTCCTGGGGATGCTCTTGGCTCGCTGTGTGTTTACAAGACAATAATCATTACATCTGTGGTCTGGGGAGAAGTACCTACCTAAACCTTAATTAACTTTGGCGTGCATTGATCTGAGCATCCTTGATGTCTCGCTGTCTCCACTCAGGTGCCTTTATGTTTCTGTGTAACTCGGCGCAAACTTGGTTTTTTTGTTGACCACAGCAGGACTCTGTGCTTCTCCAGATGCCGTTAGTAGAGGTTTTATTTTTGGCCACAAATGTCAAGAGAGAACTGAGAGCCTCTGTTGGCAACTACAAGTTAAAAAAGTGAACAGGGCTGAAGGGGGATTTCCAGAGTTCTTTTCTAAACGAAAGCAGACTTTTGAAGGGTTATTTTTGGACTGTATCATTTTCATAAAATTGACTCTGAACAGGGTCAACTGTTCACAATTTGAAAGACATCCACTGAATGGATTTATTGCATTACTGCCAATTCTCACAAACATGACAAATGCACTCGAAAATTCTCTAAAAATCAAATTAAAATTCATGTCACTGCCTAAAAAAACGACACGGAGGTGGACAGAGGTAACTTATATTTAGTTATACTCAACTAGAAACATGACTAGACCACAAAAGTGTAAAAAAAAACAACAAAACATATTATACTTTATACCATTTAAACCACGATCGGAGTCATGTGCTGTAACTTTGCGATGCTGTTCAAGTTGTAGAAACTCTTAAGCTGTTCAATAGCATCACTGTAAATAAATGATGCTTCAGAGTTAATGTCCGCGCTATTAAAAGTATATTTACTTCACCGGCAAAAAGAGAGATGTGAGAAGAGAGGGGACCGTTAGCTAACAAAGAAAGAGCTGCAGCCTCCATTAGCTGATGTCTAATTTATTACCCTTTCTGCTGTTGAATATGATGTCATTACAGGCTGCACATAAATCAAGAAAAGAAGCTGCACGCACAACTGCCACTATTACCCATAACCCCCCCCCATTCTGCCCCGCCGTAAAACCACTTCCTGGTCACCTTGGGAGGCCATCATGTGACCATAGATATTCTATCTCCGTGGCAACAGTGACAGACAATAATTACTGGGAGATTTGTCTATCTTGAAATATGAAAGAGTAAATCTCAGGAAAACACATTAGGAAGACTAATAATTAAGATGTGATGTATGAGATGGAGAGGAACAGAGAGCGGGAAAGGGGAATTTCCCAAATCGCATTTGTCATTAGTGGTCTTATCAAACTTAGTTTCCGTCCAAGTGCTTATTATGGCCGTAATTAACGCACACTGAGAGCATGTGTGTGTGTGTGTGTGCAGACATGTTCAAACGCATGATCCATGTGACACAGGAGACATGGTGGGATGCTTAATGGATGGGTAAGTGAATTCGGAGAAATGAGTTTCATATGTTGGCATGTTTGTGTGTTGCCGTGTGTGTGTGTGTTTTAATATTCTTACTTCACCTATTTGCAATAAAACATCTCCCGTATCAAACCCCCGAGGGTTCCTAAAAGGCGCATTATCCTGGACGTACAGCTTCATCGACAGAAAACTAAAGAGAAAGTAAAGAGCTTGTTTACCGACGCAGATGACATGGGATGGGTCCGGGTAATTCCACCTTGCTGCTGGCTATCCATAAATGGAAAATGAGTTTATCTTCAGGGGTCAAACAAACATATCAATTTAGATGCAAATACCTTAAAAGACTGCCATGGTTACACTTAAATGACCTGAAAAAAAGCCCCCGCAGTCTTTAATTAACATACAGTTGTGACTCAATAATCCGACCCTTAACAATCTGAAAACCTTGCTATCCGACAGGTTTCTAGGAAAAACAAATGAAACCCATTAAAAATAACATACCGACAGCCTTGGATTCCAACTCCAACATGACATTCTATACACCATTACAAAGACAGATGCTTTGAAACTGTACATGTAAATGAAAAAACAATGTATTTGCAATTGTTTGAAGCATTCTGGAAAATGCGTAAAGGCTTGGGAACATGTTCTGATATAGGTTCAGGATAACGGCGTATTATCTGACTGAACAATCTGACAGATTGGCTACGTTCAGACTGCAGGACTTAATGCTCAATTCAGATTTTTTTGTGAAATCCGATTTTTTTTGCGAGTTCGTTCACATTTCCAATTAAATGCGACTTGTATGTGATCTGCTGTGTGAACTTCATACGACCCAAAAGTGCTCCGCATGCGCAGAAGAGGACACGACGACGTCACACGCAGCGTGCTCAGTGTTTATGGAAGTAAACATGGATGGTGGCAGCAGTGGTGGTGATGGTGGAAACAGAAGTGTGACCACTATCCTAAACTAGCATCAGCAGCCAAGTACTGCTTGTGCGTTCCGGCCACTTCCACCCCGTCGGAGTGCTCCTGCCGGGTGGAAGTGTCACCCCGACTGCGCTGAATATTCAGATATTCATCATTAATTGAGCCCAGAAAGTGCTATTGGGACCAGCCCTACTAGTTATTATAACAACTATGAACAATAATTAACAACAAATGAGCCTTCCAGCATCAAGCCCTCCTTGTATCTCCACCTCCGTCTTGACAATCTGACATAAAAGAAGGTTTTACATTTAGTGT